GAGAGAGAGAGAGAGAGAGAGAGAGAGAGAGAGAGAGAGAGAGAGAGAGAGAGAGAGAGAGAGAGAGAGAGAGAGAGAGAGAGAGAGAGTTAGCACATGGGGGAGAAGAGAGGCGCCATGAAAGAGAGGGGAGGAGGGAGGATTTACCTGTCGGTCTTCAGCATGTGATCTCCAATGATGCACATTTCTGGTTTTGGACATCAGTGGGAGCAGCATTGTGCTACATGGCATTTTGATATCAAGCGGGTGACAATAGAGTCAGCTACTGATAGAGTGTGTGATATCTCAATTGCTTTTTTTTTTTCCCCTATCTGTATTGCTGGTTTCTTGTGCAGGACAAATTGCTTGGGTTTGTCGATCACTTGGAGAAGGAGCCTGTTGAAGGCTCCAAAGAAGGGAACATGGAAACCCTTCTTCTTCCGGTTCAGAGCGCTTATCATCGTCTGCTTATCCATGGAATGTCACAGGTACTTCATTGAGTTCATTTGACCACTCTTTCATTCTTTTGGAGAGGCTCGGGAAGAATACAACCTGAAATGTATCAAAGACTTCAAAGTTAATCAAACCAGGAATGATTTTTTGGGGGGTGATTGGGGTAATAAGTACTAATAAGTAGTAATAACAGCCAACCGGCAAGTTTGTTGTGATTCAACAGCTGGAAATTTGGAAAAGAGAAAGCACATTGTTTAGGCTTTTTAAGTTTTTATCACAGAATGGGCCTCGCTGCACTACTCGTGAAATGCACAAAAGATAAAAATTATGGCAGTTGCTGCAGTTTATATTTCCGTGTTTAAGCGTATTATTCGTTCTCATTTTGCACATTTGTTGAGTAGTGCGGCGAGATCATACGCACTCGCCGCCATCGCCCTTCTACCTCGTCCACTCTCATTGGAAGATTCCATTGAACGAAAAAGAGAAATGTTTATGTGCGTTTGATTTTTGTCTTTTTTTTTTTCCGTTTCATTTCGTTTCTGGCGTGTGCTTTTAGGTTTGCGCACGGCTGGAGGAGTTTGAATTTCACAGCTATCAGGGCTTATACTCACACTAGGACTTTCCTGGATGTATCTGACCACTTTCCGGACTTGGCCAGTATGCACCTAACCACAATCACATCCAGCGAGAAACGGAAAAACTTCCGAAAAATGGAAAAAGTCATTGTGCGAGTCTATGCCCTCAGACAAGTATATTCGTTTTTGTTCAGGTCTTGTGTTCGTTGTGTTCTGAGTTTTTTTTTCCGCTGCTGTGCGCTTCGTAGCCTAGGAGTCTTTTCCTTTCTGATGTCGTGTTTGTCTCGTTGCGAGTTTCCTTTGGCCCACGTTGTTTTGGTTTTGTCGGCGTTGTCGCGTTGCGAGTCTCCTCTGGCGCACTTTGGTTTTGGCTTCTGTGTTTGTCATGTTGTGAGTTTCCTCCCGCGCTTGTGTGTTTTGGTCTAGTGTTTGTGGCGCTGCGAGCTCCGTTTGTCATAATGTGAGTTTCCTCTGGTGCACTTTGGTTTTGGCTTTGTGTTTGTTGTTGTGATGTGAACTTGTGAGTTGCCTCTGGCTCGCTTAGGGGCTCGTCACACCACTGTCGAATAGAGATTTCTCGACAATTTGTAACGGTCGCACTTTGCTTTTGGTTTTGTGTTTGTTGTTGTGATGTGAACTTGTGAGTTGCCTCTGGCTCGCTTAGGGGCTCGTCACACCACTGTCGAATAGAGATTTCTCGACAGTTTGTAATGGCCACACAGATTGTCGAGAGCGGAGGGAGGCATTACGCACATACTCTGCATTTTTTTTTGGTATTGTTTTCTGCGTGTTTTGGTAACAAATCAACCCTAAATGCGGGAGGCATATCCCACAATTTACCACCCACCCCCGCGTAGCATCATCCGGCTACGCTGCATTGCACTGCCTGGCCCACATAGTACCCTCCAGTGCACATAGTATGACCCACCACTTCCCATAATATATCGGTGCGGGAACGCCCAGCCCCCATGGTACCACCCAACCCATATAGTATCGCTCACCCGCCTCAGACCACCATTCAGCCCACCTGGTACCATCTAGTGTTGCCACGGCGTGCTCTTCTTTTTCCCAACCCATGTAGTGCCTCAGTAAAACTCACGCCCGCCACGCACCACAACCAGGCCCACCTAGTACCATCTAGCGTTTCCGGGGTGTGCTCTTTTATTTGTGCATTGTCGGAGCAGAGGGGTGCAGAGAGGGGTATCATGCACTGTGCGTGGGTGCTCGCACTTGGGTGACCCCTCTGGTTCCTGGCACCAAAAAAAAAAAAAAAAAAAAAAAAAAGGTGGGGGTTGAGTCCCCGTGCGGTGTGGTAGAAGCCAGGGAGCTTATGATGCGAAGGATGTGGTTGTGAAGGTTTACGCAGAGAGAGCTGTCGTTGATTTTTCGATGGTGATGGTTGTCGATATATTTGGTTCAGCGTATCTTTTTTCGCTGGCTCTCTTCCTGCATGCTCATCTTGCCAGATTTTCACCCATGGATGTTACTCGTGTGGTTTTGTTTGTGAATTGCTGATTCGTAATGCAACATGATGGTACGGAAACCGAACGCAGTTTTACGGGCTGCTGTCCACGACAGTCCAGTCCTCCGATGGGAGGAAGGTGATGGTCATCCGCTCTCCAAAGCAACGAAAGGTCCCCTCTGCAGAGAAGTTTGAGACTCCGTCGTCGTCACCAGACCCGTCGCCCTCGACTTCGTCGTCGACGCCAAGCGCCATAAGAGCTGCATGTGGGAGAGAGCGGGCCCACATGAAACTCTCAGTATTTCTCACTGCAAGAGAGAGTCTCGTATCTGCTGCTGCATGATGAAGGTGTGCGGGCCAGCAGCTGGTATGTACGTTGACTCATTTGTTGAAAAGAGCCTGCTGGCTCCTTGTGCCTCTCTTCCCTTCAGGTCAGTGTTCCCTCTCCGCACTCTGACCGGGAAGCTCCATATCCCTCACATTGTGTTGACCAACCAGCGGTTGACCATCTAGTGGTTGACCAGCCTATGGTTATGGTTGACCAGCCTATGGTTATGGTTGACCAGCCTATGGTTATGGGTTATGGTTGACCAGCCTATGGTTATGGTTGACCATATAATGGTTGACCAACCAGAGTTGAACAGCCTATGGTTATGGTTGACCAACCTCTGGTTGACCAGCCTATAGTTGACCATCTACGGCTGACCATCGGACGGTTCAAACCATCTGGTAGTTGACAGACTGTGGAGTATGTGAATGGGGCGGCAAATGGAGGGGACCTTGTGGGCCTTACAAATAGCCCACCAGTTATACACACCTACACGGGGAGGTGTCTGCTCCGTTATGTGGGCTTGCGCCCTCTCGTTTCCCACGGTCCTGACCATATTGGTGTGCTGCCTTTTGTGATCCTCCAAAGAGTCTGAACTTAACTTCTCGGCGTAGTTACTGATGTGCCATTCCCAATCCAAGCCAATCCGATTTCTCATCAACAGCTTGTACCATATCCGTTCCTTTGTCCGTCTAGCAATCCTTCCCTTACCTTCTTTTTCACCTCTTGTGCATTGCAAGTGTGAGTCGTCTTTGTTTGATAACAGTGAAGCTCTTAATATCACAGCCAAGAGCTAGATGCCGAGCATTGGCGATGATGGAATTTGTAACGGGACTGGAGCCGTATGCCAGGCGGCACTGTTCCATCGCTTCTCCGATTGCAATTTGGTACACGGGGATGATGTTATCCTCGGGCCAACTTCTCTGCATTAGTAAACCCAGAGTTGGTTCGAACCCGTGGTCATTCTGGTTTGTATGAAACACAATAAAAGTTATGGGACTAGGAACACATGGTGAATCTGGCTTGTATGAAACCCACAATGCAAGTTCTCGAGTACGAACCTGTGGTGAATCTGGTCTGTATGAAACCCACAATGCAAGTTCTCGAGTACAAACGAACCCATGGTGAACCTGGTCTGTATGAAACCCGTGATGCAAGTTCTCGAGTACGAACCTGTGGTGAATCTGGTCTGCATGAAACTGGTGATGCAAGTTCTCGAGCACAAACCTGTGGTGAATGTGGTTTGTATGAAACCCGCAATGCAAGTTCTCGACTACAACTGTGAGGCGCGTGAAAAACTACTTACCTGTGGTGATGCATACAAGTTTGGACCTGGTATGGACCACCTGCAAGTTGCGGACGGTATTATCTGCAGTCTTCCTTCAGCTGGTATAGACCTGGCACAGGTGGATTGGTGCTTGACACGCAGTCATTGACAAGGAGTGCAGTTGTCGACGGCCCTGTCAAAGACCTGATTGTGCAACGTACGCGCCGGTAATTGTTAAATGAGATACATTTCTGAGATGGACGCATGTGCGAGGTCTGGTATAAGGTGTTGTGGCACAGGTGGATTGCGGTGGTCGACCGGTCTGTCGACGACCTGATTGTGCAATGTATGGGCTGGTAATTGTTAAATGAGATACATCTCTAAGATGGACACTTGTGGTGTAAGGAGGTGTCGTATCTGTCGTAAATGGTAGTAGTAGTAGTGCCACGGATTGGCATGGCATGGGCCCACTGCCTCGTGTAGGCAGTCACCGGTCAAGACATGCATTCTTGGGCTGGAGGCTCAGGGACATACAGCCCTGGATTGGTCTGGCATAGTCCTGGTGCACTTTGTGCACGGGCGCACTTGTATATATTCTTTTAAACCGACAGTACACGACCCCAGCCTTGCAGAAAGAGCAATTCGTTCCCACCGCACTGTACCAATGGCCCGGCCTGCGGGACAACAACAAAGAAAAGAAGCGCACCAGCAAAAAGAGAGAAGAAGTGCGCCCTGGCGGTCTGGAAAAAAGCTTCGCGCGCAGTAAGCCGCCTCCAGGCCCGAATGTACTGGTGGCTTACAGACATACATACAGGTCTGGTATATAGAGTCTGCAGGCCGGGTCCATGTTGCCAGGCAGTAGCAGGCAAGCTCTCATGCAGTGGCGTCAGGTTCTGCGGAACATACACCCTAAGTGTCCACTGCGTACTTCCTAGCTCTCGTCTTCTCAAACCAGCAGTACTCAAGCAAGGTGCTGCGGGTAGAGCGCCAGCCTTTTCTGGACGTTCAGGCCTGGCTGCACCCCGTGCGTACACCCTAGATGCCGAGTACATATTTCCTAGCTTGCCTTCTAAAACCACCAGTACTTGAGGAAGGTGCACCGGGTAGAGCGCCGGCCTTTTGTGGGCGTACAGGCCTGGCTGCGCCCCGTACGTACACCCTAGATGCCGAGTACATATTTCCTAGCTTGCCTTCTAAAACCACCAGTACTTGAGCAAGGTGCACCGGGTAGAGCGCCGGCCTTTTGTGGGCATACAGGCGTGGCTGCGCCCCTTACGTACACCCTAGATGCCCAGTACATATTTCCTAGCTCATCTTCTTAAACCACCAGTGCTCAAGCAAGGTGCACCAGTTAGCGCGTCGGCCTTTTGTGGGTGCACAGGCCTGGCTGCGCCGGGTTTCATTCAAATGCGTTCAGAGGCCTGCAGACGATGAAGGAAAGGTGCCAAGTGCTGGTCGTTTAAAAACAATTACGTACCCGTAAGAGTGTTATTATCGTCATGACGGTCCTATTGGACAGGACTGGAAACTCTTAAGCTGTCAACCAGCAGGTCAATGTACGTACCTGTAAGTGACGAGCCAGGAATGGAGTTAGCATCCTCGATCGCAGACGGGCAAGGGATTGGGATGCAGCGCAGCAACCAGGCTTCGAACCTGGAACCTCCCATCCAGTCTTGGGAAGTGCAGGGAACAGGATGGAGTTAGCGTCCTCGATCCCAGACAGGCAAGGGATTGGGATGCAGTGCAGCAACCAGGATTTGAAACTAGAACCTCCCATCCACTGGCATCCAGGCTTGGGAAGTGCAGGGAGCAGGATCTGGACCTGAGATTATACCGCAGTGAGGCTCTGTTGGGACGATTTCACCACTGCTGCAGTGGCATCGCAGGATGATAACATTTACATGCCGGCCCGGCATACCTCACATTTTGTGGGAAACCGTATTTCATTTCATTTCATTCGATTGCCTGGACCGCAAACTTGCAGTAACAGCAGTTGTGTGCCTGTCATGGCTGGCAGCCATTCGTGGAATACGCCTATCAAAGGCGATGCGAGGAAGTACACGCTCCCTCAGATGTAGGGGCTGACGGCAAGGTGCATGCCTACCATGGCTGGCAGCGATTCGTGGAAGACCCCTGTCGAGGAGGTGCACCCTTGAATGAAAGCAGTCGCCCCCTAAAAGCCGGCAGAGTCAGGGCGGGGTGGGGGGGCCAGGCGGGGGTTAATAAATCCGCCTGTGTCGCCATTCAGTTCCACATGTGGTGGTCATATCAAATCCAGGCGCGAAGGCGATATCTTCTCCATGGCATGATGTCGATATTGCAAGCCACTGATTGTTCAATGAATAGATACAAGTCTACATGTCTCATGTGCATGGCCGTGAGTGCAAGCGGCGAATGGCTATTACATGAGAGAGGAGTAAAAGGGCAATGCCAAGACGGTGAGACAGGCGGCAACGCATTTACTCTCTCTCCTTTGCCTGGTAGTTCGTTCAAAGGGCCAAGCAAGGGCTGTCAGAGGTAGTGACTCTGAGGCTGGTGAAAGGGCAATGTGGAGATGGCGGTGCATTCCAATAAGCCTTAGGATATCTGGTCACACATGCAATTTGAAGTTGTATGATGGCGATATGTGACATGCCAGTCAGGGCAAGCAAGGGCTCTTGGAGAGGGCCTCTTCCTAGGGGTCACAGATTGCCAAGGCCTCTTGGGAGGGGTCAGAGGGTAGAGTGTGAAGGAGAGCAGTGCAGGGTGATGGCAAAAAGTTGTTTTGGGGCCCATCGTTTGTTTTATCCATGCAGTGAAGTTGAAGGACGATGACATTTACGTGGCTAGCAACTTATAATACCTTTCTCCGCCTTTCGGATAAAAATAGATTGTGTAGTTCTGTTTTGATCAGTTTAATATCTGATCTGTCGCCCATCTCACCACATGATATTATTCTTTTGGGGCCACACAGGTGAAGGGGTTAGAGGGGGG